ATTACTTGGTCCAAAATGTCAACAGTGCAGAGTTGAAACATTCTGGTCTAGACATCTCCCCAGAATGTTCTTCACCTTAGCCCCTTTCTAGGGTTTCCATGGCTTAAGAGATCTGGGACCTCCTACCCAAGAGGTTGCAAGAAGGAACAGCTGTACACCCTGCTCCAGCCCAGTCCTGGTTAAGTACAAGGACTTAATCTACAGATCCTATGGCCAAGATAATCAATTTCCCCCAATGGCAGCTTTAGGTTCATTCTCCTCTGCCCTCTGGAATGAGGAGGCCTGATCTGGGGAGGGGACATCTGCCAGACCTACTGTCTTCTATCACAACAAGGCTGCCCAAAGCCTACAGGGGCCAAGCCCAGCCTAGTTTAGTTTCCAGATACAGCCACAAGGTGGCAGCCCAACCCATCAGGAATACTGAGGTTGTCCGCCTGGGAGAGCAGCATGAAGACTGTGCCAACCTGGACAAAGGCCTGAGGGTTGGACTTGGGCCAGTTCCAGAGCCCAGCAGGACCAGATCTAAGGCCTGCAAGTGCCAGGTGTGAGAACATAGGCCAAATTTGGCTTCAGATCTTCCTTCACCATCTTCTAGTCCCCATCCAGTTTAGTTCCCACATGGAGCTTCCTGGAGCCCAGTGCTCCCTCCTGTCTAACCTGAGAAAGAAAAATTACAGAGCCAAGGAGTTAAGAACATAGGGATGATTATTGCTCCCATTAAGTGATAAAGAAACTAAGGCACAGGGAAGCTGAAGAATTTTCCCAGGTTACAGCTAGTTAATGGTGGAACAGGGATTTGAACCCAAGCAGCCTGGTTCATATATACTTTTTTTTTTTTTTTTTTGTACTGAGGATTGAACTTAGGGGCACTTGACCACTGAGCCACATCCTTAGCCCTATTTTGTATTTTATTTAGAGACAGGGCATCACTGAGTTGCTTAGCACCTCACTTTTGCTGAGGCTGGCTTTGAACTCACAATCCTCCTGTCTCAGCCTCCTGAGCTGCTGGGATTATAGGTGTGCAGCCACCACACCCGGCTGGTTCATATATACTCTTAGCCACTGACCAGTATGTTCCCCACTCCCAACCCCAGCCACAGCCATCAAAGACCTTCTGGCAAGGGCTTCCCTCTGCAAGGGAAGTGGCAGATGGTTATGCATGGGGAAACTGCTCAAAAATGAAAAAGAGGTGAGGTTTTTGACTGAGTTAAGGATCCATGGTTAGTGTTTATAGGTAAGAACCCAGGACTTGGTCAACAAGTCTTCCCTCAGCCACATTTCTTGGCATTTTTTGTTTGATTTAGTTTCTTTCCTCTTGCTTCCCACCCCCACCTTGTGTTGTCCTCTTGGTTTTTCTGGGCTTTCTGCAAATGCCAGTCTTCTCATAGTGTGAAGGGGAAGTGAGAAAAGGGACTTTTATGTCCTGCTTAAGTGACAAAAGAGGAGGGGCATTCCTTTGGGCTTGGGCTGGAGGGTGTCATCAGGCTCAAAGTGAGAATCCTAAAGCGGAATGGCTGGGATATCAGGAACGGCTACCCTCTCCCACTGGGGAGGCTCCTCTGAGTGTTCTCTCTTTACCTCTTCAGGGATTTTGGAGTGTGATGGATACCCTCCCATACTCTCTCCCTCTGACCCTGGCATTACTCTCTTTTTCTAGCACAGCCTTCAGGGCCTGGCCTGACCAGAGCTTCTAATCACCCAATCTGCTGCCTACTTCTCCCCACTGTCACCTGGGTAACACTGCAGCTCCCCATTAGGAGTACCTCAGTGGAGCTCTGTATTGACCCCTAAGAGACCCTGATCAGACCCTCCCCCTGATTTGGCCTCAAGGATTCCAGAGGCCTTTCTTGTCTCTTGGCATCTAATTGGTGGGAGTAGGTGTGCATGTCTCTATGCCCATCTTTTTCTCTTGCTTCATTATCTCCTAGAGTTGGGCCAGAGAGCCTGTGTCCTGGAAATCTCAATATGGGTTAGGCTGGGTTGCATAAGGCCAGGTTTCCTCATGGTTACAGGATGAGACAAATTGGTTAGGGTGACAAGGACACTCCTTCCTGCCTTACTCTGAGATTGAAGGGGAAGCAGCTCCTATTTAGAGGAATAATGCAGATCAGTCACTGGAGGAAGGGGGTGCCATCCTGATCCCAGATTCAAGCCCTTTCTTTGTCTCTACCCATCTCTCTGTTTCTGACTTTATTGTGCCTCTCTGTGTCTCCCTTTGGCCTTCTTCCATCCCTCATTCCTGGCCCTGGCCCTTGCCCCTCACCATGCCTCTAGGCCTTCCCTCTACCACAAACAGATTCTATGTGGCTGGGTCAGTGTTCCCCTGATCAAGTGAGTAGAGAGATGTGTGTGGCAGAGCTTTGTCCCCAGGCCTATAGCAGCATCTGTGGGTCAGGGTAGAGGGACAGCTGCCTGCACAGTTAGCAACTGCCAACAGGTAAATAAGAGCTTTGTGTCTTCTTAATTAATTCACTCTTTGTCTAGGCAGCCTGTGTTCGATTGGCCTGGGCTTGGATCAATAAATAAGTCTCTTTCTCCGCCCAGCTGACCCTGGAACTGGGCCTGACCTCCTCAGTTCTGCCCAGTCCCACCTGCCCACTTCTCCAAAAGGCTGGGAGCTCCTTGAGGGCAGGAGTTGGAGTTTGATCTGATTTGTCCCTTGTGTCCTTGTGTCTGTGACAAAGCCTGGAACAAGTAAGGAGTAAAGGAATGATTGGTCAACTAAGTAAACTGAGGCACTGGTGGCAAGCAGGGACGAGAAAGGCTTTGAGGTGAGGGCAACTTCCACCTCCACAGTCAACTGTGAAACTGTAGGAATCCCAGCAGGCAGCTGCTCCTAGCCAGCCCTCAAGACCTGCATGGGCTTAACTCCCAGGGCAGCTGAAGCTTTAAGGACAGAGGAAATGGCAGTACTCAGGAGCCTAGGAGAAAGTGCAGCCTTTCATAAGGGATCCCACCCAGGGATTCAGAGTTAGTGCAGGAGGGTCAGTTAGCTGGTATTCACGTGGTAGAGTCTTGTGACACTACTCCTGAGAGACTAGGTCGGTCTAAGTGATTAAGGACCTAGCAACAGGAAGGGGTCGAAAGGGGTTAATGGGGAGCTAGGGGGACATGCATATGGGTGAATAGGAAGAGTTATCTTGGAGCCCATGCAAGAGGGTAGCTCTGAAAGAATCTTGGGGACTTCAGGTTCCATGGGAAAAGTCGGTATTAAAGGGTTCTTTGGAGAGCTCCGTACTAGTCCAAGTCAAGGTGTCAGGATGTCCTGTCTTACCCAGAGTTCAGACAGTCCCTGGTTTGGAAGGAGATGGGCGAGTGCCAACGCCCTTCTCACCTCAGTTTGACCTGGGGTGTGGGCCCAGACTTTTCTCAGAGCCCCCGCCCATCGAGTGACGTTCCCTGAGGGCGAAGCGTTGGCGGGTCCCCCCTAGAGCAGGAGGAGCGGTGCCCGGCAGGCGCCCCCAGTGCTGGGGTTG